TGACATCAGATTCAATTTTCAAAAGCTGGACTCGATTGCTCTGTCACTTGGGGTTCTGAGACCCGAGGCATGTAATTTAACCTCTGTGTCTACATGTGTGAGATGAAGTGATGATACAAAGCTGGTAAAGATCATTGAGATAATTGCCAAATTGCAGAGGTCCCTGCTTAAGTCTAATCCGTGTCCACTCCTGGGTATATAAGGCTAATTGGACCTGATGGGCCACAAGTCCATTTGCATGAAGGACTGAGAAGCCTCCAAGGAGCGAGGCAGAGCTGTGCAAGGATTAGGAGCTTGGGCTATAGCCCAGGGTTTCTCAACCTTGGAACTATTGACATTTTTGGCCAGGTAATTGTTTTTTATGGACGGCTGTCCTGTGCACTGTGGAATGTTTAGCAGCATCTCTGGCCTCAACCCACTAGATGTCAGTAGTGCACCCCCTCTAGTTGTGACAACTAAAAATACCTCCAGGCATTGTTAAATGTGCTTGTGGGGAGGAGTGGTCAGCAATAACCTGTGATGGAGAACTGGCTTTAAATTCTAACCTGACTCCTTCCCCAGGGTCATGTAGCTAGTAACTGTGCTTCTATTTGTTCATCTGAAAAATGGAAGTCCTAGGAACTTTTCAGAAATAACTGTTGAGAGGTTCCAGTGACAGGTGAGTACAAACTTTGGCACCTAGTGATACTACCTCCCTACCACCAGAAGGCCTTTGCTCATTCATTCATCCTTGGCTAGAGCACACTCTTGCTCCTAGTCCTTCCCTCTGTCTAGTTAACTCAGACTCAGTCTTCAGATCTCAGCTCAAGTGCCATTTTCACAAAGAACCTCGGCTGGACCCCACAAACTAACAGAGACCCAAAGTGCTCCTCGCATTTGTTTAGATCAGACATTCAAGCACTTGGATGGTCATATCACTAAGGTGTGTTGCACTAAAAATCAGTACTATGTCTGTGTCCTTCAATATCGCATCACCAGAACTCAGGAAAGGCTTAGAAGGGAACATGCATTCAGTAAAAATCTTATGGAAAGAAAGGAAGAGGGAAGAAATGAAGAGCTCAAAACAGAACTGCAATGTCCTTATACTTTAAATCCTCCAAGGAAGGGATCTAGACCACTAACCTTATTAGCCTAGTGAATGATTACAGTGACAATAAGATTGTAATGGTTTTAGGGCCAATCTGTCACTGAAAACTCTCTCAGCCTATTCCCCATAGAGCTTATGGAGTTCAGTGGGCTCAATAAATATGGCTCCCTTATTTTCCACCAGAATTTGGAATTACCAAGGTCAGATGGATGGAGATCAACAATAGCTTTTTCCTTTTTTTGTACTGGGGATTGAACCCAGGGGCACTTAACCACTGAGCCACATCCCCAGCTGCCCCCTTTTTAAATATTTTATTAAAGACAGGGTCTTGCTGAGTTGCTTAGGGCCCTGCTAAGTTGCTGAGGCTGGCTTTGAACTCACAATCCTGTTACAGCCTCCCGAGTTGTTGGGATTATACTATTGTGCTACCACGTCTGGCGACAATAGTATTTCTTATTCTAAAAAAAATCTGGGTTTCCAGAAAGTTTTTTAGGTATGTAAAATAAATGAACCTCTACCTCAAAATTAGCTAGACTTACCTAGTTATAGGCAGCTGAAAAGATCCTTCCAATGTGGACTTGCACCTTGAAGCTTGTGGTTTGCATAAAATAAGGCTACATGCTTCCTCTTTGTAAGGCCTGTCCCCAAGGGAGAAGTAGCAAGTGTGGAGCTTAGTGAAGATGTGCCTTTAAACAAAGACCAGTAATGTTAATCTAGTGTGGATTCTTTCAGTTGGAAACATGATTTCAAGGGAAAGGATCTCCATTCCTGCCAACATATTTAAGTCTGGGTCTAAGGGAAAGAGTTCTGGGAGTCGACTCCATTTAGTGAATAGATATTTTACCAAAGATCCTATATCAGTTCCCAAGCAGCATTGCTATGGGACTTTCCTTATGGATCTGAAGGTTGGACAGTGTCTTCCCCATTTTTGCCACAGAATACTGCAGTTTAAGTCCCTTGAGGGACCACCCAGTGCATTGATCCCAGCAGGAGTTTCTAAGGGAGATGGCAGCTCCCATAGAAACGGCAGAGGAGCCCACCAAAAGTAGATGTGTATTATGGTTTAGATACGAGATGTTCGCAAAAAGCTCTTGGGTTAATGAGGGGATATTCAGAGGTGGAATGGTTAGATTATGGGAGCGGGAACCTAATCAGTCCATCCTAGTTTGAATAGACTAACTGGGTGGTAACTGTAGGCAGGTGGGACATAGCTAGAGGGACATAGTTGGAGGAGGTGGCTTACTGGGGGCATGTCCTGGGAGGGTCAGTCTTCCTTGTGGTCCTTCCCTTTGTGCTCTCTTTGCTTCCTGGCCACTGAGAGCAGAGTAGCTCTCCACCATGTCCTTCCATGATAATGCTCTGTCTCACCTCAAGTCCAGAGCAATGGAGTAGGCCTTCTATGGACTGAGGCCTCTGAAACTGTGAGCCAGAATAAACTTTTGCTTGTCTAAGCTGTTCATGTCATTTATTTCGGTCATAATGATGCACAACTGACTAACACAAAATGCTGGGTAGATGAAGCAGTATTTAATGTAAGTCTTCCATATTGGAAGAGGCCAGACTTAGCTGGCCATTTGCATAGGCTGGTGATATAAAGATCAATGAAACAGTGAACACACATGTATTTTAAATTGTGACCTATATAATTCAGGGAAGTTTCTATACAAGTGAAACACTTTGGAAACCAGAAGTCATTCAAAGGCTATTAAATTTTTTTCCATTCATGGTTTCATTTGTTGCATTTATTATTTTATTAGTGAATTATAATTATCTATAATGGGGGGGGAGGGTTTGTTGTAATGTATTTATACATGCACATAAGATAATTTGGTCAATTTCATTCCCCTATACTTCCCCTCCTTCCTCCCCTGGTCCCTTTCTTCTACCCAATAGTCTTCTGTTTTCATGAGATCTCTCTCTTTTTTTTATTCCTTTGTTCTCTCTAGCTTCCACATATGAGAGAAATCACACAATCTTTGACTTATTTTACTTGGCATGGTGCTCTCCAGTTCTATCCATTGCTAAGTAAAAGGCCATAGTATGTATATATACCACATTTTTAAAAATCCTTTCATCTGTTGATGGATACCTAGGCCAGTTCTATAACTTGACTCTTGTGACTTGTGCTGCTATAAGCATTGGTTTGCATGTGTTGCTGTAGTATGCTGATTTCAGTTCCTTTGGGTAAATACCAAGGAGTGGGGTAGCTGGATCATGGCAGGTTCTACTCCTAGTCTTTTCAGGAATGTCCATACTGATTTACTTAATGGTTGTACTAATCCTACCAACAGCGTATAAGTGTTTCCTTTTCCCTGAATCCTCACCAACATTTATTACTACTTTTATTCTTAAGATTGCTATTCTAACTGGAATGGGATGAAATCTCAGTGTAGTTTTGATTTGCATTTCCCTGATTGTTAATCATTTGTTGCACTTCTATTGTATTTTTAAGACTTCAAGTATTCATGATATTTTGTTGCCTATTTGCTGTGGAATGGCTACATTTTAGGCTCAAGACAGATGGGTAGGTTGAAATGGGAGCATGGTGACAAAATAAAATGATCAATATCAGTACTTCTGCAGTGAAGCCTTAGTATTCCTGTACTTTCAGGTTCTTTAAATGTTTATTTATTAGTTAATTTATTCATTGAGCCTAACTTACTACTTACTGCATGGGAATTTACTTCCTCCATTTGAAAGTTGAGAATAATGCCAGTCTTTATTAATTATCTGATTTAAATCCTTATAATGATATCATGCACATGTTTCAATTTTCTTTTTTTTTTCTTGGTACTGAGTTTGAACCCAGGGGTGCTCTGCCACTGAGTTACATCTCTAGCCCCTTTTTATTTTCATTTCGAGACAGGGTCTTGCTAAGTTGCTGAGGCTAGTCTTGAACTTGTGATCTTTCTGCTTCAGCCTCTTGAGTCACTGGAATTACAGTCATGCACCAATGCACCTAGCTCAATTTTGTTTTTCTTTCATAAACATTATCACCACCTTTATATCATACAGCATACATCTTTGTATATGTTCTGTCGTCTTCCATTGCCAGAATTAAGCTCTATGAGATACATCTTTGAGACTTGATCTTATAAATTTCTGCTTGGAAGTGCCCAATAATTATTGGTTGAATGAATTATGAATACTCAATGAATGCTGTTTGTCTTAAGCTTCAGATAGTATTATTTTCTAATTTTCTTTTCTACTTGAATGACCAATAGGACCTTAACCTTAAATCCCAAATTGAACCTTTGGTTTCCCTTGTATCTCCATTCTTCCAATGATGAATGAGCTATGGTCGATGTTCTGTATTCTAGGAAATGGCAACTCCATCCTTCAAATTCCTCTGACCAGCACATTTAGCATCATATTTAAATTCTCTTCCCCTTATGCCTCATTTTCAACCTTACAGAAAGTTATATTCCTTATATCTTCAAAATAATCTTGGCAACTCCAATTGGCACTGGCTTAATCCAAGTCACTAATATTTCAGAAAATTGCTTCCAACCTTACCAACTAATTCTGGTTTCCATACTACATATTTACTTTTTAAAATATAAATATGAGCCGAGTGTGATGGTACATGCCTATAATCCCAGTGGTCTGAGAGGCTGAGGTAGGAGGACTTCACCAATTTACCGAGACCCTGTCTCTAAATAAAATATGCAAAAAGGGCTGGGGATGTGGCTTAGTGGTTAAGTGCCCTTGGGTTTAATCTCCTGGGACTCCCCCCATATATATATCTCCACTTTGCATCTCTGCTCAAATATCCTGAAAAATTCCCATATTAACTGTACTTGAAATGTTATCCCTTCACTTTATTTCTTTATGGTACTTGGATTATTATAACATATAGTTCTACCCAGTAGAATATGAACTCAAAGCTGCTTTTGTATTTTTTTTTTTGCAGCAAATATCCTCGATGCTAGAACAGCAGATGGCAACAGTGACAAATGGTGTCTTGCGTATCTGCGAGTATGTCTTCGTGAATGTGAGGCCAAATCAGCATGAGGTTATTTGTGAGTGCAAGTTCATATGATCATGTGAGTATGTATGTGTAGGAATGTGTACATGTATGTATGTGAGTTCTAATGTTGGAGAACATGGAAGAGCATTTGTGAGTATGTAAGCACGGGAATGTGTGTGAATGAATGTGGTGAAGATGTGTAATCAAATGTGAGAGTTCGTGTGCCTGAAAGTGTGTTCGTCAGTGTGTGTAAGAAGTATGAGTATGATGTTGTGTGTGTGTATATGTGTGTCAGGGTGTTGATGAATGTGTATGAGTGTTTATTAATATGTGAGTGTGAGTGCAGGCATGTGTAACTGGCTCTGAGTCCACCTCAGATCCTTATGTAGTCACCTCATACCCAGAAGTCGCTGGGGAAAAGATTCACCATTGTTTCTCAAAATAGGCTTCTCCTTTACTCTCCATCTTCAGGAAAAGTGTCATCAGCCATCTTATCACCCAAGCAGAGATATAGGAATTGTGCCAACGTCATTTCTCTTCCTTATCCCACATATCACCAAAGTTTACATCAATCCTGACTTTTGTATTTTCACTCAGATTCTGAGTTGAGGCCCTTTCTTCTTTCACCCATGAAAGCCTCCTGGCTGGACATCTTGCTTCTTGTCTTGAGACACTGGCTTAAGGTCATTTCAGAACAACTCACGAAAGTCTTGGAATTTCAGTTAGAAATCCATAAATACTGCTCTACGATGCTGTTAGGGTGATTCCTATGCTGGTTGGAGGTTTGATGAAGTATATACACTCTGAGGCTTTTTCTTTCTTTGTGTGTGGTGGGGGGGGCAATTACTGGGAATTGAACTCAGGGGCACTCAACCACTGAGCCACATCCCCAGCCCTGTTTTTTTTTAGAGATAGGGTCTCACTGAGTTGCTTAACACCTCGCTGTTGCTGAGGCTGCCTTTGAACTCATGACCCTTCCCCGTAGCCTCCAGAGCTGCTGGAATTTCAGGTGTATTCCACCACACCCGGTTCTCTGAGGCCCTTTCTAACACTTGAAAATCTATAATTCTTTGATCCAATTGTAACAAACTGTCCCTACAAATTGTTCTATCATCAATGTAATCTTCAATAACAACTTGATTGAGTTTGCTCATTAGCATTGATCACGTGAATAAATGGGGCTACTTAGTGGGTACTAGAGATTTCTGCCAAATCCCTTATCAAGTGGGGACACAATGCAAATCACAAGGAGAATCAGAGGCATTCATTGGTGTATGTTCTTCTCCCACATCTGACCTGGTGTGGGATACTAAGATATCTCATGTTGTACTTACACCTTAGAAATCTTAGTTTTTAACTGAAGGTTCTTAGTCATACGTCACAATCCCTAATTTATGACCACAAAAGAATTTTGTCCGTAACAGATACTCAGTCTCTCCATTCATTCAATAAACTATTAAACAACCAATGACTTTTTATTTAGTTCTACCAAGGTTGCTAGGTGCTGTAGAAAACATTCTTTGTATTAATATCATTTAGTTTTCAAAATAGCCCTGTTACATCAGGTGCAAAGCGTGAGCCCCACAGGTCTTAAGTGCTATGTCCAGACTCACACAGTAAGCAGTACAGTTGGGATTTGAACCTAGCTCTGTCTGGCTTAAAAGCACGTGGTTTAACAGCCACCTCAATATGTGTGTAGTCATCAGAGGGGAACTGTCTTACTTTCCCACATTGCCTGGGAACCCACAATCCTTCACTAGTTCTATGTATGTGTGTGTGTATATATATATATATATATATATACACACACACTAGTTGTATGTATGTATGTATGTATCTATCTATCTATCTATATATATATATGTGTGTGTGTGTGTGTGTGTGTGTGTGTGTGTGTATATTTGGTACCAGGATTGAACCCAGGGATGCTTAAATTCTGAGCCATAGCTCCAGCCCTTTTTATATATTTTATTTAGAGACAGGGTCTTGTGAAGTTGCTTAGGACCTTGCTCAGTTGCTGAGGCTGGCTTTGAACTCTCCCATCCTCCTGCCTCAGAGCTGCTGGGATTACAGGTGTGCTTCTCCGCTATTCAATATTTTCCAGTGGCATTCTACCATATATGGAATAAAACTCATACTCCTTAGCCTAGCCTCCCACATATAGCATTATCTGGCCTCCTCCTTCTCTCTAAATTCATTTATTACCACTGCCTTCCTTTATCATATTGCTTTTCTCTGTTCCTAGAATATCTCAAGCTTATTCATTCTGGCAGAAGCTCTTCATGTAGATATTTCCACGGGTCATGCAGGTCTTACTTTGTTACTACCACAGAGTGGCCCTCCCTCATCATCCTAGTTTTTGACTTTTATCATAAATCCCTCTTTATTTTATACATACCACTTACCAATAGCTGAAATGATCTTGTCTCTTTTACAACACAGTCCCCTAGAGGGTAGAGACTTTGTTTTTCTTGTTTACTTATGTTTCTTCACTGCCTAGATCAGTGCCTTAGCATTTAGTGAATGTGTGAATTGAATGAATGAACTCTAAAACAACTTGCAGTTTGAAGGAAGTCCTTATTGGAAGTTTTTTTTTTCCTCCCTGAAGATGTTGGAAAAATCTTTATGTAGGTTTTGTGTGTACCAGGACTTTGCTAGAGAATTCCTGATACAATGTAAGCACCATCATCTGTGTGTTGTTGATTTCTAGGATTCCTGGATTGTAGTAGGTGCTCAATAAATATTTTCTGAGTAAATGAATGGCATCTGATACAAAGTGTGAATTAAAAATATTTGGAGAACTCTTAAGAACTTAACACATATCACAGATATTGGGGGTGAATGGTTTGCATTTTTTCCCTTCCCAGGTTCCATGTTTTTCCTCCCTCAATAAATATTTGTTCTGCAGGAGGGAGAACTCTCTGGAGATAGCAGCAAATATTGTCACAGGGGAATGCCTTTGAGGCAAGACATAATATATACAGTGAGATTTCTGTGAGCCAAAGGCCACTGAGATCTACCTCTGACCATAGAGGGAGTAGAGTAGGGTGGGGTGCATTTTAGAGTCCTGGAAAGTGCCATTTTCCACCCTTTACTAAGGTCTTCCCAGGTACACACATATACCCAGCAGCCATGCCAGGATGGGCTTTGCCTGCTGGGCTTAGAACTCTCTGGCACCATCACCTCTGCACAGGCCAAGATTCTCTGATGCCTGGACTGAAGGTGGAGTTGACTGCATTCAGAATGGTGATCATCAAGAAGGCAAATAACAGTGAAGACTGGGGAAGATGCGGGGGAAAGGCCTCTTCTACACTGTAAGAGGGAATGTAAATTGGGATAGCCACTACAGAAATCACTATGGCAGATCCTCAGAAAACTAAACACCAAATAACAACTTCACCACAACTTCAGATAACCAATGTATGTTATCAGCCTAGGTGTCCATCAGCAGATAAGTGGATAAAGAAAATGTGGTATATAAAGGACTTAAAATCAGCATACTAGGGGCTGGGGATATGGCTTAGTTGATAGAGTGCTTGCCTCATATGCACAAGGCCCTGGGTTCAATCCCCAGCACCAAAAAAATCAGCATACTACAGTGACCCAACCACATCAATGTTTACAGCAGCTCAATTCACAATAGCTAAACTCTGGAACCAGCCTAGGTATCCTTCAACAGATGAGTGGATAAAGAAAATGTGATATACACACACATACACAATGGAATATCACTCAGGCATAAAGAAGAATGAAACTATGAAATTTGCCAGTAAATGGATGGATCTGGAGACTAACATGCTAAGTGAAATAAGCCAATCCCCCCAAACCAAAGGCTGAATGTTCTATGTGATATGTGCATGCTAATACACAATAAAGGCAGGTAGGGGAGATAGTTCATTGGATTAGCCAAAGGAAAATGAAGGGAAGGGAGGGGGGATGGGAACAAGAAAGACTACAGAACAAATTGGACATAACTCTCCTATGTTTATATATGAATATATGACCAGTGAAACTCCACTGATTTAATTTGATTTTTTCCCTCTACTATCTCTAAGAGCAATTTTAGTTGTGAAAATACTCTATGGAGGCAACAGCTCCTGAATTCATTGCAGTCTTTGGAGAGACAGATTGTTATTAACTGACCATAAAGAGATATATGTTTGATTTCTCGTGTGCTCATAACAAACATGTTTGGATGGTAGTTAAATAATTTTGTAAGTTAATAAACTGAGGTTTAGTTTACCCTGCTTTTGGTAAATTACCAAATTCACAGCCTACAGAGGCTGGTGTGTGTGTGGGGGTGTGTGTGCATTTTAACATTATGTATAATAACAAGAATGGGAAGTTATACTCCATGTATGTATGATATATCAAAATACATTCTACTCTTATGTATACCTAAACAGAACAAATGGAAAAAAAAAAAAAAAATATATATATATATATATATATATATATATATAAATATAAATAAAAAAAATATATATATATATATAAATTACACTCAACTGTCATGTATATCTAAATAGAAAAAAGTAAAAGAAATGGGGTATATATGCACAATGGAGTTTTTATACAGCCATAAAGAAAAATGAAATTATGTCATTTGTAGGAAAACATGTGAAATGGGAGAGTATGATGGTAGGTGAAATAAGCCATACTCAAACAGACAAGAATCATTTTTTTCCCTTATATGTGGAGGTTATAGGAATAAAAAGAAAAACAAGTGACATTATGAAAGTAGAAGGAAGTTAGACTATTAGGGTAGAAGAGGGGGATCTAGGGGAGGGAGGATGGAAGGTAAGGGGAAGTATTGGGAAGTGAAATCAAATTTTATATGCATGTATCAGTATGCCACAGTGAAACCCACCATTGTGTATAGTTAATTTATACTAATAAAATATTTTTTTCATTCTGTCAAGGACCTAATTTGCACCAGTAATATTATAATATAACTAAATAGCCTAACTTGTTGAAAATATTACTAAGCAGAACTTCTTTAGTAGTCAAGCTCATTTTATACCTTTGTCAGGCAGGTAGTAAGAAAATGGGTGGGATATCAGAATCATACTGTTC